TTTCCGTTATTCATTTTTGTAGCTGTCTCTGAGCATCTAATCTGTTTGTGCGCCCACTGTGTGCAGCTGTGCCCCTGGCCTGAGAACTATGTGCCTTTTCTCAGAGTATTTATCTTGGTCAACACATGCACCTTTATTGGTCTAACTTTTTTCTTTTTTTAATCAATCAATTAATTTTTTATTATTAGTTTCAGGTGTACAAAACCAACATAATGATTAGACATTTACATACCTCACAAAGTGATAACCCCCCCTAAGTCTGCTACCCATCTGACACCATACATAACTATTAAAATACCATTTTGACTATATTCCCTATGCTGTACTTTACATCCCGTGACTGACTATATATATATATATATATATATATATATGTTTATATAATATATATATAATTATAGTTGACATTCAGTATTATTTTATATTAGTTTCAGGTGGCCTGATTATGTTTTAATTAATGTTTGCCTCTTCTACTGGACCTAACCCCATGGGGACCAGAGCTGGGCCAGCTTTTAGCCTAGTGTTAGCACAGTGCTAGCAGATTGGTGGAGGAGCAAAGGGAAGAATGAATGAATACGGTCAGATGGAGGGATTCTGATATTTGCAGACCTGAGGAGTGAAGGTGGTTGTCACGGGTATTACTAATTTGTTCATTTATTCCAGAAGCATTTTCTGTGGAGGAGATAGAGATGAATTAACTCTGGTTCCTCACCCCCTGCCCCACTGCCCCAATACATACTCGGGTAGCTAATAGTGCATGTGAGAGTGAAGGGACCAGGGAGAAGGTGGTTAGAGGGAGAAACGGCTGGGACGTGAAGGAAGGCATCCTGGAGGAGGTGAGCCATGCTTGCAGGCTGCGTCTGTCCTGGCAACAGTGCGCATGTCAGTGAGGAATGATTTACCTTTCATGTGGGCACAGTGAATCACCTGTGGCTGACAGGCTGACTCCACACATCACCTTCAAATGCCCACAAATGCAAAATTCATGTTGCCAGCCCCTAGTCTTTCCAAAAGATGAGGCTTGGGAGCAGGGTTTAGAAAGCATGTCCTGATCTACAGGAACTAGCGATTCAGGCCCTGGGACTGAAATGTGGAGGGAGATGGTTTCCCAGCCACCTCCCGTGGCTCCACCCTTTTCTACATGGCTGACTCACCCCTGCCTGCCTCTCCAGAGTCTCCAGGGTCTCTTTCCCCTCACTCCCTCCGTTCCTTTCATCTCCTCTCATTTCCGGGCTTTTGTACAAGCTTCTCCCCAGTCTGGCGTGCCCTCTCCACCCCCACCCGCTTTGCCCTGCTGACCCCTTGTCCTCCATTCTCAGTTTAAGCATGACTTCCCCTTGGAAGACTTCCTCGACTCCTCCCCCCATATACACGGTCATATGTATATATTTCTAGACAACTTTTCTACTTAGCAGTAATCATAATTTGTAGTCACAGATCTGTTTGTGCTTGACTAAACTGGACTGCCCTTTCTACATTGGAAAAAGGGGCTTGTTTTATTCATCACTGTATCCTCTGTTTTTGTTTTCAATATTGCCTGGTACAGAGTAAACACATTATCAACATTTGTTAAATGAATGAATAAATGATTATATGTTTAGGAGTGTCCGAAACCTTCTTAAGGAAATGACAGACCTTAGGCATCTGTGCAAAGTGACAGGGTAGGCTTTACCCATCTTCTCAGTAGAGAAAACAAGCAGAGGTATTGGCTGGGGCTAGAGCAACAAGAGCCATCGTGGTCGGGGTGAATGCCTGGACAGCTGGCTCTTCCCAGCCCACCGTTCTCCACTTGGAGCATCTGAGTCACCAAGACAGCTAGGACAGTCCCCCAGGTTTAGCCCTGGGGTACCGTGGCTGACTTTCAGAAAGCCAGAGCAGGTGCAGCAAGCCTTCTTCCTGGAAGACTCGGTGCAGGTCCTAGCGAGGCTGCCTCTGCTTGGAGTATGTTTGATGTCCCTGTGGGGCTGGGCCTCCAAGGACCCCCAGTGCATTCACTTGAGTTGGCCAAGTGCCCTGAGCCTTTACTCTGTGCCAGGTCCTACTCCATGACCAGACAGTGACTTTGCCCCCTGGAGCCCTTAGCTGAGCTACCCTCTCTGAGCTTCCTTCGTGGAGGCAAAGCTCTACCCTCCCAGAGCTCTGAGCTGTGCAAAGAGCCTATGAATACCATGGGAGAGGATTGACTGTGAGGATGGCCTGGCTGTCAGGGAGAGACCCGAAGGGGCAGCGTTGGGGCATGTGTGACGGGGGAGCCTGAGAGGGAGGGAAAAGGTAGGCACTGCCCAACTGGGGGCAGGTGAGGCCTCAGTAGGAGACTTCAGGAGCTAGCTGACAGGAAGGAGCCTTTGTTAGGAGTTTGGGGCCTGGCTGGCAGGATGATGGCTGGGGAGTGGGGAGTATAATTAAAGTTGGTGGACAGAGAGAAGCCTCTTAAGAGTGGATGTGATCTCTCTGACAGAGAGAAACTTGATAATACTGGGGATCAAGGCCAAGGTCAAGCTTTGGCAGGAGTGGCTGGGGTTAGAATGACTGACCAGAGCAATAGTTGAGGAGGGGCCAGCTGAGCTTTCTTCGTGTGTGTGTGTGTGTGCTCATGTGTGCACACATGTACACAGCAATTTTGATAATAGAGTCATTTGTTACATGCCAACCAATAGGAGAACACCCTGGGCAGACAGACGGAGCCATGAACGTCCACATCCTGCTAGTCTTGGTGCTGAGTAGGAATGGTCCCCATGGGAATGGGCCGTGATGGAAGAAGGGCCTCATGATGTTGATGAGGATGATGCCCTGTGGGTAGGGACAGGAACCCATCCTGTGGTATCCTCTTGGGTCAAAATTGATCTAGGATCCATTTTCTCAGGGGGCTCATGAGCCACCTGTGAAGGCCTTTATTGTAGAAGATGCTGGAGTGCTCTGAGCTGTCAGACTCCATGGGGACCCTGAAAGGTTAACACTCATGTAAACACCCAAAGCTGGTGTCTTTGTTCTAATGTCAGACCCTGTATTGCAGTTGCTTGCCCTCAGAGAGGACAGTTGGGGAAACATCAACTTTTGGCAGCATCTCAGTGACACAGTATCCCACTGCTTCAGGCTCCTTGGTTTGGCCTCATGCCTCACATGGGTGGGGTTTTGACGTGATGAATAAAGTCTAAGTCAGCAGTGTGCTGGTGAGGTGGGGGGAGGGGGAGGTTGGGCAAAGCCTTGTGTAAGAAGGGCACCTGTCAGTGAGAGATCTGATGCATGCTGGTTCCCCCTGCACTTCCCAGCGGCAGAGGCAGAGGCTGTGCCTCTGGGCCTGGGTTCCAGCAGTGTCTCTAGTCAGACCTGCATGAGCAATTTGGTCCTGGATGGCCCTGGGGAGTGATGGACCTTGAGGGCATTTCCTCACGGGAAACTTTTGCCCTCCTTGCTTTCTCTCATTTTGAATGTTTCAAGCCCAAGGCTCACAAAAGATATTTCATCCCATTTGCTTTTTTATTGATAATTCATAATATTTTCATTGACATGTAAACATCATCACCAGAGACTGTTACAGTGTGAATAGCTAACAGTACAGAACACATAGAGAACTTAATCCCGTATTTTCTTGGTAATTTACATTTATGAATAGGCAATACATTTAAAGCTCTGCAACAAAACAAAACAAAACAAAACACAACAAGCATGCTATGAAAAGCCTCCCTTCCCTTCGCTTCTGCCCACTTAGTTCCTAGTCCCTGAATGGGTAACCACTCTAAATGTTTCTCATGTTTCCTTCCAGAGTTCCTTTGGAGATCTATATACAGAGAGGGTGCTAAAAAATGTATACATGTTTTAAGAAAGGAAAAAACTGCATTAAAATTGTAATACTCAAAATATACTAACAACAAAAGATGAATACAAGTCATGTTATACATTTTTTTGGCAACCCTGGTATGCATTTATATAAATTTTTATATAATATGCATTTTAATATGTATATGCATTATATGTAATGTATGTGTATATATTAGTATATATTATATAATTATAATCACAATATATCATATTAATATATAACATGTATATTAGATATAAAGTTTTATACAGAATGCATATAAAGCCCTTTCTTCATGTTTACTCAAAAGGTTGTAATTATACATGCTGTGCTGTACTGTGTTTATTCATTTTTCATATAACAATGTATCTTGAAGATCTTTCCATATCAATCGACAGAAGGCGTCCACTTTCCACTTCACAGTCATACAGTATTCCACGGTGTAGGCATACCGTGACTTATTTAACCAGCCCCTACAACATAAACTCTTGGGTGGCTTCCAGTCTTTTGCTGCCAGAACTTATACATATACACTTCCCATATGTGTAAGTCTAGCTGTAAAATAAATTCCCAGAGGTGCAATTGCTCTATCAAAGGGAATGTGCATTTGTGACCTTGATAGACTTTGTCAAATCGTCTATCCTGGGTGTGTGACCAGTAGGCTATTGCCAGAATGGTATGAGAGTACCTGTGTCCCTACAGCCTTCCTAACGTGTTTTATTGGCTGGTCACATGATGTGGTGGCAAATGTCCTGAGTAAGGGCATCAACTCTGGGATGAAACTGTACCTCTAAGGGATCGACAGTACAAGAGAGGCTGCTGTTTAAGCCTCTGTGTCAACCTGAGCTCCAGACCTCACGCAAATCACTTAATATCTTTAGACTTCAATTTTTTCATTTGCAAAATGGGAACATAATATCATCTTCATTGGGGTCATTGTGAGCATTAGACGAGACGATACATATAAAAATGGCTCCGCACAGTGCCTGACCCGTGGCTCTGGAGATTGGTCTGCACTAACCAGCAGGGCGTCTTTGGCCGGGACCCCCTTGTCTGAGCCCCTGCCTGTTTCCTGTCTTGTCAGGGAGGAAGCTGGCCTCATGGGTCTCTCAGGCCCTCTTCCCAGCCTCATGTCTGACATGTCTTTCTTCAGCAACCTGTGGAAGTCGCACTCATCCTTCCTCTCTCATGCTCATCAAAGGTATTCAGGAGTCTCCAGTGCCGAACGGTCACTCGCTGCCAGGCAGAGATTTCCTCCGGAAGCAGATGCGGGGAGACCTGTTCACGCAGCAGCAGCTGGAGGTGCTGGACCGTGTGTTTGAGAGGCAGCACTATTCGGACATCTTTACCACAACGGAGCCCATCAAGCCTGAGCAGGTATGCCCCACCACTCACTGCCTGCCACACCTGCCACTCAAACACAGGCCTGGGTCACCCTCTGGAACGCGGCTGGCGGGGTGTGGGGGAGAGCACCAGGCTCTACTCTACAGAGGCAGGTTTCTCTCTGTTCTCAGCCAAACTTGGCCGATCGCAGCATCCCATGAGATCAGGAGGACATGTTTGGGACTCTGGAGACTTCTCGCCCTGGTGCCTGTGTCTCCCTGGCTGGCCAGTGGGTGCGTGACTTGTCTGGCTGCTCTGCCATTGCTGCTGAATGGCGGCCTTTCCCAGGGGTTTTTGTACAGGGGGGTGTAATGATCTTTTGGGCCACTTGAGGTGGTCTTGGGTCATTATCCTGTCAGTCAGAGTGAAGGTGGAAATATGTAAGTACCCTATGGCCATAAGCCATGTTACGATGTTACTGGTGTGTACCCCACTGTCATCCCTCTCGTCAGGTCACTCTGTCATGCTTTTAGAGCCTGGAAATGAAGAAGTGTTGAACTGGACAAATGCCCAGCTGGGTTATTTGCAAGAGAGGGAAGGAAGCAGGAGGATGACTCCCTGCTGAGCAGCCCCCATGCTTTGCTCTCGGTGGAGAAGCAATCACCCACTGTGTGTGGCCATAGGGATGGGATGAGAAAGGCTCTGCCCAGTGCGAGGCTCTCAGGGCCTGGAAAAGGTCCACATTCCATTCAGGAGGTTAGTTCCTGATGCCCAGTCTGTGCCAGGCCCTGGGCTGGTTTCCTCTCCAGCACGAGTGGCTCAGACATGATTTTTGCCTGCTGAGCACTCCTATCTGGTGGGCGAGTCAGAGAGACCCATGAGAATGACTTGCTTAGCACCTTGCTAGCTGGCACTGGTGGTGAGGACTGGCCTCGCTGAGCTGCTCCTATGAGCTAACAGCTAATTAGATGATAGTTCTGAAGTTTTCCCAAAGAGCCATTCAGAACCATGCAGGCTGTGCACAAGCTCCGGTGGAGAGGAGAGGTGCCAGAGGGGACCTGAGGTGGTGAGGAGTGAACAATGCCTCGGGGCCAACATCGTAACAATAGTCTGGCTATCTCTCAGCATTCCCTGTGGGCTCTCACAGACCACCTACCTACTTTGTTTTCAGATGGGGAAACCAAGGCCCAGAGAGGCAAAGAGACTTGCCTAAGGCCATGCACCTAGGGATTTGTTACATATTCACTTATCAAATGTTAATGGGTGTCTACTGTGCAAGACACAGAACTAGGTACGAGGGGTACATTAGTGAACAAGACAGGCTTGGACCTGCCCTCAGGGAGCCTACAGATGTGTGGAAGAATCACAGTAAATAAGAATAGCCCAAAGGGTTGTGGATGACAGATGTTCTAGGTGCAGAGGATGGGATGTCTGAGGTTCTCCAAAAGCATAAAGCAGAGATTGAGCCGACTTGAAGGGGAAATGCATTTATGCTGAGCCCCGAATTGTTGGGCTGAATCAGGAGAAGGGACATGGGAATGGGAGAGTGTGCATGGCAGAGGGAAGAACAAGTGCAAAGGCCCTGAGGTAGCATGGCAGGAGTGAAGAACAGAAAGAGAGCCAGTGGCTGGGCTTCAGAGATTGGGCTGCCGGGAGGGGTGAGAGGTGATGTTGGGGAGATGGGCCTGGTCATTTAGGCTGTGGTCAGGATTTTGGTCTTTCTCCTACAAGTTGAGTGAAGTCTTCTCTGAGAATGATGTAGTCATATAGGCTGGACAGAGCTGATCCAGCACACTCTAGACCCTGGGCTTTAGGAAGAAGAGTCCGATTCTGTCACAAACATCCTCTCCCACTGCTCACAGCTCTTCTGAGAGATGGCTAAAGCCACATTTCATCTGACACAGGAGGCGAAAGAAAAGCGACTCAATCAGCAAAACTTCCTTGGATGAGGCTTACCTTTTCCTCTAGAATCTGTGAAAACATTTATCTTCTAACTACTGACAAGATCACATAATTTTAGCACTAACAGGGACTCTAGAGGCAAACTTTCAATCCCCGTTCCTTTTTAAGAGGCCCAGAGATGCGACAGGGTTTGTGTGAGGTTACCCAGCAAGTGAGTTGTGAGTTGTGAGGGCTCAGGCACGAAGCCTCCAGCATTTCTACTAAGCCCTTATTTACTTAGTGCAGACATTCAGTATCAGTGATTGTGTTTCCCCCTGTTTCATATGATCCTCATGGAAACTCAGAATCTGAGTTATAGTTCGTTTAGCTTGGAATGCCCAGAAAGATTGGGCAGAGACCACAGGGCTTCATAATTGGGAGGAGTCTGTTCATGTATCCATTCACTCACTTGCTCAGACACTCATATGCTCATTTATCCAACATATTTCTTGCATGCTATCTGTGAGCCTGGCACTGTGCCAGGCACCCAGGCAAGGAGGAATGAATCGGGCATCAGCTCTGCCCACAGTCTCACAAAGGCGGTATGATGTGGATTCAGACTCTGTAAGGCAAGGGAGGAGGTCCTGTGGGACCTGATAAATGGAGACATTGCCTCAGCCAGGAGCATCGGGGGCATGTTATGGAGGGGCAATGTTGGGGAACAGGTCGATAGGCCTACATAGAGATGGGGCCTGACAGGAAGGAGACCTGAATTGCAAACTCGGTGCGGGCTCCTCTTCTAGCAATCTCGCTGTGCGGTGTCCTTTAGAATGACGCGGACACGGCTGTGGGCCTGTGACTGTGTGGGCTGAGGCGGGGCCTGTAGGCGAGCCTTGTGGTGGGATAATGACTGACTCAGTGCTTTCTGGTTAATCTGCTTCACCTCCTCGTAATGCGCCGTAATGAGGAGCGATGGAAGGTGAGGCCTCGGGGCTGCTGGGTACACACACAGGCACTGGACTATGAATGACGTACCCTCGCTCCTGATTCCCAATCACTGTAGACAAATGACGGTCCGAGCAAGGGGCTGTAGGCTGGGAAGGCAGGTGCATCAAGGGTACAGGTTCCTTGAGTCCCCTCATGCTCACTTTCACCTTGCCTTGTGAGCCCCAGAGCAGCATGGCGGTGGGACCAGGAAGGGGGCCCAGAGCTCTGGCTGCTGAGGCTGGCCTCTCTTTCATTGTGAGCAGGTCTGTGACTGCAAGGGCTAGTGGCCTACGTGGGGGCCTTGCTGTCAGTTTTATTGAGCAGCCTGGAGGGGAAGAAAGGGCATTTGCTGGCCTTGGAGTTGGGAGAGTTTGACTTCAGCCCTGGCTCTGCCTTGTTGGGCAAATCGCTTTTTCTTTAGAACTCAGTTTCCATATCTGCGGCAGTAGTAATTGTGATTTTGATAACAACATCAATAACAACAGTGATTGTCCTCACCTATGCGTGATACTGGACAGTTTTCAAAGACCTTTCATATCCATTCTCTCATTGGACTCTCAATATAAATGCTTGCTAAGCAGGCTGGGCAAGATTTGTGAGCCCCATTTTACAGATTGGAGCATTTTTTCCCCAGACTGTTGACCCCATTTTCAGGCCCAGGGGGCTTCTGGGACTTGTCGAGGCCACAGAGCTAGAATTTGACCTCAGGATCTTCAGTCTTCATCTTGTGCAAGATGGTTCCATGGGCCTCCATGTCCCCGAATGATTCTAGGAGCCAGTTTTCTGACTGGCTGGTTTTCAGAACTGGTCTTTTGCAGCCAAAGTCTGTCTGTCAGTTCAGAACCCCCAGAGACTTAGGTACCATAGGCTTGGGTGGTCAAATCCTCCTAAATCACCCACCCAGCTGCCCACGGAAGAACATTCCTCTTCAGGGCCAGCCTGGGGTCCTGCCAGTCACTGCCATGAGCTCACCCTCACCTTGCTGCTTTTCCTGCCAAGATCTGCCCTGGGTGGATGGGTCCAGGCTTCTGGCTTTTACAGGGAAACTTAGTAAACCCTTGGCCCTGGGTGGAAGGGGTTAATATATACACACTCCTGGGACAATGAAACACTTCCTTTCAACATGGCTATCAAAAAAGCAATTCTGGTTTCCCTACGTGTGGAATGAGTAAAAATCACCTTGGAGAAGAAGAGAGGAAAAAAAAAAAGAAACAACTGCTGGTGGCATGTGTGTGCGCGTGCGTGTTTCAAACAGCGGAATCTGTTTCAGTAAAACTCGAGTTGACACTGTCGTCGGCACTGTGCTGCTGGCGGGAGCTGGTCCCTCCTCCAGCCTCCGTAGGAAGGCCACCGCCACCGCCACCGGAGCACAGCCTGCCGTATTTACTCTCGGCAGACTATTAACCAACACCAGGCTATTAATCTGGCTTTTGAGCCTTCACTAAAGCCCATAAAAGCTCACAGTTGTCAAATGGAGTTCATTTTAATTTCCTTTCAATCACAGTAAATTATTCAGGTGATAAATCAGCTGGAGCAGCCTCCTGGCTGTAATAGAAACCCTAATTCCTGGCTAATTATCCAGCCCATTGCTGCCAACAGATCAATACGGGTGCAAAATGGAACGGGCCCAGGGCCCTCCCTCCCATCGGACCAAAGACAGAAAGACAGCTGGGGAAGAGGGACATTTGCTGACCTCCCGGGAAGTTCAAAGGTCACGGGGTTAAATCAGGAGAAGGCCTGTCCCTTGTCTAACAGAGAAAGCCACCAGAAATACCTCCTACTCTCGTACACTGCTTTGCCCTCTGAACGGTGGCATCCCTTCAGGCTGGTAGGCCTGGGGCCGAGCACTGCCTACTCCTGTGGGTGTCCTACTCCTGGGAAGGGGCTGGTTTGTGTTTCTGAGCATGACTGAGCTTGGCTTGGTCACCAGGGATGGCCTTGAACACCTACCTAGATCAGGAAAAGGGCTAGGGACTATGGGGAGAAAGATGAGGTGCCAGACATGCTTTCTTTCTCCAGGGAGCACATGTTTCTCTGTAGTGGGTCTGTGCCCAACAGTAGAGGAGGGGGGTGAGAAGACAGTTGTTGTACAGGCTGAGAAAGGGGGAAGGCTTCCTAGAGGAGGTGTCATTAGTGCTGTGCCTGGGCTAAGGTATGAAGGAATGCAAGTATGGAAAGGAACTGCA